ACGGTAGCATGGGGACCCTGGCACCATAGAGGGTGCAGCATTCAGGGTGCATTTGACCCCAGTCCCAGAGCAAGAGGGGACAGTGGGAAGCCCTGGAGTGAGAGGGGACTGTGAGAAGCCCCGGACCGAGAAGAGACAGTGGGAAGGCCCAGAGCGAGAGGGGACAGTGAGGAGCCCCGGAGCAAGAGGGGACTGTGAGGAGCCCCAGAGCAAGAGGGGGCACTGGGGAGCGAGAGGGGGCAGTGAGGAGCCCCGGAGCGAGAGGGGGCAGTGGGGAGCACCAGAAGTAAAGAAGAGGGCCAAGGCATAGGGCAAACCATGTCAGGTACCATCTGCGAGGCTTGGGCTGCAGTGTAGAGGAGGAAAACGAGCCACAGATAGCACCCCTTGACACCGGGCATATAAAGTGGGCAGCCTCCCGCTAATTACATCACTCAATCAATTAAGATCAAGGCATGGCAGGCGAATAAGCAGGCAGTTAGCCCAAGACAGGAAGGCAGAGCCACCAATAGAAAGGCTCCAGCAAGATACTCCTGTCACAATGGTGCATTGGCCAGGAAAGCTTTATACAGCAGCATGCACCATAAGACACTGGTTCGCCCGTGTAAAGAAGAGAGCCCTTGGGCCCGTGCAGAGGAAGGAGCAAGCAGTGGATCAATTACATCAAAAGGTGCAAGATCTACTGGACAAAGCCATAAGACAACAGACCCTGTTATCCGCCGTGATCGAAAGCACGCGACCCCAGTCAACGATGCAGGTAGGACTGTGCGGCTATGGAACCTGAGTCGACCCCAAGGTGGGGGATGAGCCTCCCCTCTTGTTGACAGAAGTAGTAATAGAGGGGAAAAGAGTCACGGCTATACTGGACTCGGGCTCAAAGCAGACGGTGGTGCGGAGCGACGTATGACCAACAAGGGAGAGGGGAAGAGGGGACCGCATGAGGATGCAGTGCTGGTGCGGGGATGCCCTCGTTTTTGACAGGGTGAGGGTCACTCTGCGAGTAGGCAACAAGACCCACCCAATGTTAGTGGGGGTCTCAGACCATTTACCCTACCCAGTAATACTGTGCTGCAACTGGCCCGAGTTGCTAGAAGAAATAGCTAATGTGTGGCGCAAAGAGACCACGGAGGGTTTTGTGGGTGAAACTAAGCAGTCTCCTCACGAGGAGAGAGTGGACCAAAGAGTGGACGTCGCCCGTTTGTGGGAAGATGAGCACTTTCAACTAGAACAGAGTTGAGAGTCGGATTTCCGGTAAGCGCTGCTGGAACACCTCGCTCAGAAGGACGACGAGCTATTGAGACCAGAATTAGTGAAAATAACTCCAAGGTTCAAGGCGGCCTCCTATACTGGATCAAGCAAGGGAAACCAAAAGGAGGGGAGGTCGCTCAGCTGTTGGTTCCATGGTGATATCGATGGGCCTTATTGAAAGTGGCTCATGAGCTCCCCATGGGCGGGCATTTGGGCTGGGACAAAACAGAGGCACACATCAGGGCAAGGTTTTTTTGGCCAGGACTGGTGCAGGAAGTCGCATGATATTGTGCTTCATGTCCCGACTGCCAAAAAGTGAATCCCAGGCCGCCCCCAAAGGCTCCTTTGATTTCAATGCCTCTAGTAGAGGTCCCCTTTGAGAGGGTAGCAGTGGACATCGTGGGGCCACTTCCCTGGAGTAGCAGAGGCAACCAATATATATTAGTGCTACTAGACTATGCGACTAGGTACCTGGAAGCAGTACCGATGCGGACGGTGTCTGCGCCGAAGGTAGTGAACGAGCTATTGAAGATCTTCTCCCGAGTAGGGCTTCTGAAGGAAATACTGATTGATCAAGGGACGAACTTTACATCCCTCATGTTCAAAGGAGTGAGTAAAGCCTTGGGGATCAAACGTCTGAAGACAGCCATATATCATCCACAAACGGATGGGCTCGTGGAATGTTTCAATCAGACACTGAAGCAAATGCTGAAAAAGTTTGTAGTTGAGAGCCCGCAGAATTGGGACAAAATGATGCCCCCTCTGTTATTTGCAGTAAGAGAAGCACCCCAGGCCTCGACTGGGTTCTCACCATTTGCGTTGTTATACGGCCGGCAACCAAGGGGAATTCTGGACCTAATTAAGGAGGGTTGGGAGGAACAGCGGCATAGAGACCAGAATGTCTTCCAATATGTGATCCAACTGTGGGAAAGCCTTGAAGCAGCCCAGAATGTGGTCATGGGAAATCTCCAAGAAGCCCAGCAATGACAAGCGCAGCATTACAACAGAGGCGCCTGGGAAAGGAGATTTGACATGGGAGACCGCGTGTTGGTTCTGCTGCCAGACAGCGAAAGCAAGTTACTTGCCTGGTGGCAGGGACCCTACGAGGTCGTACACCAAGTGGGGCCCGTGGATTACAAAGTATACCAGACTGATAAGAAGAAAAAGAGGCAAGTATACCATGTCAATATGTTGAAGAGGTGGGAAGACTGCGAGTGTATGTATTTAGCCCTTCATCCTGAAGAGCTGGAATTGGGACCGACGTTAACGGATGACAGCGGGCCGGGGAACATAGAACTGGCCGTGCGACTGTCAGAAGACCAGAGAAAACAGGCTGCCAAGTTGGTCAAGGAGTACAAAGATGTGTTCCAGGGAACCCCTGGGGAAGCCCGAGGCGTGGTACACCGGATAAAGACCCCTCCGGGCCTGGTAGTACGTGAGCATTGGATATGGATTCCCCAGCGCCTCCAAGACTTGATAAGAGCGGAGAATACAATGATGCTGGAGAAGGGTATTATCTGTGAATCTCACAGCGATTGGCGGCGTCCCATCGTGGCGGTACCTAAGCCTGATGGAAAAATCTTCCTCTGTGTTGACTACCGAAAAGTAAATGCAGTGGCTAAGTTTGATGCCAATCCGATGCCCCGAGTAGATGAACTGGTGGAGAGCATCGGGCAAGCTAACTACATCTCCATGTTGGACTTGACCAAAGGATACTGGCAGGCCCCTGTGGCCCCTGAAGACCAGGAAAAAACAGCATTTGCCACTCTGTGGGGTCTTTTTCAATTCCGACGGATGCCATTCAGATTGCACGGAGCTGCGGCCACATTCCAGTGATTAATGGACAAAGTTTTGGCTCCCCATGGGGGTTACGCCGCAGCATACATTGACGACATCGTGATATACACAGAGGGCTAGGCTGAGCGCCTCACCGCACTGAGGGCGGTACTGCAAGATTTAAGAAGGGCCAGGCTGACAGCCAACCCAAAGAAATGTACGGTGGGGGAAAAGGAAACGCAATACCTGGGGTTCCTAATAGGAAGCGGGAAAGTGAGACCTTTGCTGAGCAAGGTGGAGGCAGCGCAGAAATATCAAGCACCCCATAGTACAAAGCAAGTGAGGGCTTTCCTGGGACTGGCCAGTTATTATAGGAAGTTTATACCCTGCTTCGCAGATGTAGTAGTACCATTGACAAACATGATAAAAGCAGGGGCTCCAACCAACGTGAAATGGACATCAGAAGCAGAAGAGGCATTCCGAACCGTGAAGGAGGCGCTGTGCCTACAACCGCTTTTGTATACTCCAGATTTGAATAAACCCGTCTTGGTGCAGACCAATGCATCGGATGTGGCTATCGGAGCTGTGCTGGTACAGCAAGAAGGAGAAGAAGACCACCCTATAGCCTACATAAGTAGGAAATTACACCCACCGGAACAAAGTTATGCCACAGTGGAGAAAGAGTGTCTGGCGATAAAGTGGGCTATTGAGACACTGTGATATTACTTGTTAGGGCAGCGGTTCACCTTGGTCACTGACCACGCGCCCCTGTGCTGGCTGCAGAGCATGAAGATGGATAACACAAGGTTGATGAGATAGGCCCTTAGTCTGCAGCCATATTGTTTCAAGGTAAAACATCGTCCTGGAACCCGAAACATAAATGCTGACTTCCTCTCGAGACAATACGAGGAAGAAGTGGGGCCGGGGGGCCGGGAGGCTACTGGGTAAGGAAGAAAAATAATGGGGTGGCAGGGAGGCGGATCCCCAACGACTGCAGTGAGGCACCCGCTGCCTCCGTCAGGAAAGTACACCATGACCAGAACCATGTACCCGAACATGGAGAAAGTAGAAAAGAAAATAGGCCTAAAGGCACCCTACCAAGTTTGGCCAGTGTGGGGGGACTACCTGTGGTGGGTAACTCCCAACAAATCCCACACGGTGTGCCTTGGGTAAAAGGCGAGTAGGAGGCACCTGAAAACCTCCGCCTCCTGAGCCTGAATTACCGGGTGCCGGGGAAAGGGCTGA